GGTACGAACAAATCATCAATACGAGGCAACGGGTACTTGTTCTTGATGGTGACCTTGTTCAACTGGCGGTAATCAATGCACATCCGCATGGTCCCATCCTTCTTCTTCAAAAATAGCACTGGTGCGTCCCAAGGCGATACACTGGGCCTGACAAATCCCTTTGCTAACAACTCCTCCAGCTGCTCCTTCAACTCCTTCAACTCCTTAGGAGCCATACGGTATGGTGGAATGGATATAGGCTGAGTGCCTGGAGCCAAATCAATGCAGAAATCAATATCACGATCCGGAGGCATGCCAGGAAGATCAGAAGGAGAAACATCGGCGAACTCTCGGATTACTAGCACTGAATCAATCGCTGGAGACTCTGCGGTGACGTCTCGAACATAAGCTAGATAGGCCAAAAACCCTTCTCGACCATGTGTCGAGCCTTCAGGAAAGAAATAACCCTGCTAGGCATATCAACTGTGGAACCCTTCCACTCCAATCTCGGCGATCCTGGCATCACTTGTGAAACCGTCTTGGCATGGCAATCAAGGACGGCGTGATATGGAGATAACCAATCCATGCCCGGGATGACCTCAAAATCAATCATATCAAGCAACAGAAGGTCTTCTCTAGTCTCAAAACCACAGAAAGTGACCACACAGGACCGGTAGATCCGATCCACAACCACAGAATCACCCACAGGAGTAGACACGTGAACAGGAGTGCCCAAAGGCTCAGGAGAAATAACCAGGAAACGAGCAAATAGAGGTGATACATATGAGTAGGTAGACCCCGGATCAAATAATACTGAAGCATCTCTACCACCGACGGAAATAATACCTGTGATGACGGCATCTGGGGCCAATGCATCTGGCCTGGCCGGAAGAGCATAGAATCTAGCTGGAGCGCCGACTGTCTGGCCTCCACCTGACTGAGTAGTAGCTGGCTGACCTCTCCCTGTCTGGCCTCCACCTCTAGGGCGGCCTCTACCCGTATGCCCTCCACCTCTAGGTGGCTGGGCAGCTGGTGCTGAAATTATGGGCTGCTGATCCTGCTGCATTGCCTTGCCCCGAAGTCTGGGGCAGTATCTCCTCATGTGACCGGGATCTCCGCACTCAAAACAACAGCGCGGGGCAGCAACCTGCTGCCCTGATGGCTGACCCTGATAACCCATAGGCCCGCTGGAAGAAACCTGGATAGCCGGTGGATGACATGAACTCTCCGGCATGGCACAGAAATAAGAATCAGAAGGACCCTGGGGACCTGAATACCCACTGGATGAACCCTGAATAGCTGGCGGGCGGTAGGAAATCTCTGGCATAACACTGAGATAGGGGCGTGCTAGAGCCCCCCGGGCAGGAGGTGGTGCTGAAACTGGTGGCCTACTAGGCTGGCCTCTCCCATACTGACCTCTGCCCCTAGCTGGGGCACCTCTAAAGCCATCGGAGAACCTAGCTCTCTTATCCTTATGTATCTGCTCTCTACCCCTCTGAGAATATCCCTCAATCCGACGAGCAATCTCGACCACTAGCTGATACTCTGTGCCCATCTCCACCTCTCGAGCCATACTAAATCGAATCCCGGGCTGCAATCCAGCGACAAACCTCCGCACCCTCTCCGCATCTGTAGGAAGTATCATAAGTGCATGGCGGGACAACTCGAAAAACCTTGTGTCATAGTCAGTCACAGACATCTGCCCCTGCTCGAGCTACTCAAACTGGTACCGCAGCTCCTCCCTCTCAGAGGGCAGGATAAACCTATCCAAGAACAACTGCACAAACTGATCCCAAGTGATGGGAGGAGAACCCGCTGGCCTGCCAAGAACGTAGGACTGCCACCATCTACGGGCCCTGCCCTCGAGCTGAAAAGTAGTGAAGTCAACTCCATGCGACTCCAGTATCCTCATGTTGTGTAGTCTGTCCCTGCACCTGTCTATGAAGTCCCGAGCATCCTCATGACGCTCACCTCCGAAGACTGGAGGATGAAGCTTGGTCCATCTCTCCAATAACTTCTGTGGATCACCATCCACAGCTAGCCTGGGCTGGGGTGCCACTGCAGCAACTGGCTGAGCCCCATCTGCGAGTAGTGCACCCGGAGTCTGATATACTGCAGCTGCATGACCTGGATCCTGAGCAGTAGGGGTCTGGGCTCCCCCTCGTGCCTGTGAAGTGGCTGGGTCTGCTGGAAATAAACCAGCTTGAGTCATAGTGTCCATGAACCGTAGCATGCGTCCCATGACTTCCTGAAATCCCGGTGCTATCATGAAATCCGCCGGGGTAGGCTCAGCTACGGGCACCTCGCCCTGCTCCTCAATGATAGGATCCTCTACAGGATCTTCCGGTGGTGCAACTGGAACGGCTCTGGGATGCCCTCGTCCCCTACCATGGGCCGGTGCCCTCCCTTGGCCTCTACCTCAGCCTCGAGCAACGGGGGGAGCAGCTCCTCCCGGGTCCGAAACGTCAGCGGTGTGAGTTCTCACCATCTGTGAGAGAATAGAAGAGGGGAAATTTAGTACACTAAGCACTGCACGACAGGAAATAAATAAAGAGTAGTCTTTCCTAATATCCTATAGCCTCTCGAAGATAAATACATACGTCTCCGTACCGATCAACAAGACTCTATCAGGTTTACCCATAACTCGTGAGACCTACGTGAACCTAGTGCTCTGATACCATGTTGTCACGACCCATTTCCACAATAGGTCATGATGGCGCCCGACACCGTTGCCAGGTATGCCAATGCGGAACATTTCCATCTCCTAATGTTAATTTTAGCGGAATTTAAGTGAAATAATTATCCGAATTTGGGTTCGCTACCCGAAAGTGATAGATAAAATAAATAACATAATACAGCCCTAAAACTAGTCTACCAAAGTGTGTGCCAATACCTGGTGTCACAAGTACGGGCATCTAGTAGAATACACAAAAGAATATCTCTGTCCTACTGTCTGAGATAAAGAAAGACAACAAAAGTAAAGGAAAACTCCATCCGGTTGCTAGGCGGCATAGGAAGGAAGCAGCTCACCGTGGAAGTCTATGTCACAAACTCAAGGGCGCGCACCATACTGGTAACCAGATGTATCTGCCTCAAATCCTGTACAATTAAGTACAGAAGCGTAGTATGATTATATAGCAATATGTACCCAGTGAGTATCCCGTCTAATCTCGAAGAAGTAGAGACGAGAGGTCGACTTATGATTCACTAGGGTCAAATAGTATATCGAGGTAATTATACAAACCATGAAGAAACACTAATAAGCAACAGTTTATAACAAGACATAAAAGTCCCACTCTCCACTATATCTCCAGCTAACCATTTACTTTTGTTATATTTATCAATTTATGTTAGGCCATGAAAGGCGATATCAATACTTAAAAACTCTCAGGCAAGCAACAATAGCATGCGCAAATATGCCGAGGCGACGGCCCGATCCAACAGAAATAAACTGTGCACTTTCCGAGGGTCGACGGCGCGCCTATAGATGCATCTATTCATACCGAGGCGATCGGCCCGATCCACAAATAATGAGAAATATCAAGTATACACACAAGGCGCATCAATAGTCATTAATACCAAGCAAGACTTCAACAATTATACAAGTATGTTCTTACTCCCTTTTTAAGTCTCTAGCATATCCTAGGTGTCCGTATTAACTAGATAATATAGAGATTTATATAAAATAAGCATGGTGTGGGTCCTAAGCTACCCGGACAATTAACATAGTAGTAGCTACGCACGGACTCTCATCACCTAGCACGTGCGTAGCCCCCGCATTTAGAAACAATTACTCACTTATTAATCTTATGGGGACAATTCCCTCTTACAAGGTTAGAAAGGAGACTCACCTCGCTCCAAAACGCACTTCAAATATCGAAAACAAGCCCAAGTCCTCAATTCGGAGCCGAACGATCACAAACTAGTTAAATAATGTAAGAACTAGTCAATAAAGGCTTACAAGGTTGAATTCTAACTATTTAAGTAATTTCCCAACCCTTTTCACAAGTTTCCTAAATTCCGACCCTGGGCCCGCGTGCCCGGATTCCGAGATTTTTCGAAGGAAATTGTTCTCTGCAACCTAAGGAACAATAATATATGATTTCCAGCCCATTTCGTAACAAATTTCATGATTAATTCTTAGTTTTATTAAAACCCTAGGTCTAGCTCTAACCTTTTGATTTTACGTAATTTTTAGTGTTTAATCAACTTAATATATATGTATTTAAACTAATAATGAATGGAAGTAACTTACCTTGAAGTGCTATGTTGAAATGCTCTCTTTGGAAGCCCCAAATCGCCTAAGTGTGGTGTAGAAAATGAAATAAATGGCCTTTGAGTTCGAATTAAATGAACTCACTGCCCAGCGATTTCCGCTTCTGCGGTGCACTGACCGCTTCTGCGAATACCGCTTCTGCGGAATCTGGATCGCTTCTGTGAACCCGGCCCAAAATTCCTGGATCGCTTCTGCGGTCTGGGTCCCGCTTCTGCGGAATCGCTTCAGCGGAATTGGGCCGCTTCTGCAGCTTGGGCCTAAGGCGACTGGACCGCTTCTGCGGTCTAGGGATCGCTTAAGCGGAACCGCTTCTGAGGTTTCTGGGCCGCTTATGCGGTTTCCCTTGGACTGGCCCTTGGCCGCTTCTGCGATGGATTGACCGCATCTGCGGTCCCGCTTCTGCGGTTCAAGAACCGCAGATGCGGTTATGATAGAAGCAGCAACTCAGCTCCCTTATCCAAATTTCATCTTCACTCGAGTCTCGTTCGATCGACGATCGGGGCTCTCGAGCCCCGCCCGAACATACCGACAAGTCTGAAATCACGAGGCAGACCTACTCGAACCCTCGGAACACTCAAAACAACGCTAAATCTTGGAATCACCCGCTAAAACCAAATGAATCAAACTATTGAACTTCAAGTTCTTAATTCTCTTCTAACGGGTCAAAACGCCCTTAGACTACTCGGATTGGCACCAAATTTTACGGGCAAGTCTTAAACAATATTATGGACCTGTACCGAGCTTTGGGACCAAAATCCGAGCCCGATACCTAGGGAATTAATGATTACTTAGTTTCTTTAATTCTTTAAAACTTCAATTTAACAATTTTAAATAAAAATTCATTACTCGGGCTAGGGACCTCGGAATTCGATTCCGGGCATATGCCCAGGCCCCATATTTTCCCACGGATCCTCCGGGATCATCAAATCATGAATCCGGGTCCGTTTTCCCAAAAAGTTGACCGAAGTCAAACTTGGTCTTTTAAGAAAGTCTCGAAGAGGCAAATGGACATATTTTTACTCGAAACTCTTCTAACTCCCGAACCAACCGTCCCCACAAGTTATTAATTAGCTAAAGCAAGTGTGGGAAGTTTTATTTAAGGGAACGGGGTTCTAAAATGATAAACGACCAGTCGGGTCGTTACATTAAGCAAACTGGGACTCACCCAAGAAACGAAGAAGCTAAGCAAAACTGGGACTCCCTTCTTTTTGGTTCTAGTTATTATATTTTATGCCATGGTTTTCTTGGTCTTCGATTCTTACTTCCGTTGCTACAAGTTTTAAACATTGTCTGTGTTAGAGGCTTATAATTATGAATCTTAGCTTCCTTATGATTAACTGCATCCCCTATTCAGGGAAGTAACTTACATGAAAAACGCATGTTGTTTGTCAGTAATATCTTGTCTAGCTAGCGGATGTGCGTGGTTATATTCTCACTTTTGCTGCTGATTAGATTTGCCATCTTAACAATTTTAGTCGTGCTCAGGCTGTGACTTGCTTTTATGGCTTAGCAACTTTATATGGACGTACTTGATTGTTATAGGTACAGATTCTAGAAAAAGAGATTCAGCAAGTAATATGTAAATCTTTGGAAGAGATATCATTTGAAAAGCAGTATCAGGAGAAGTGCCTATTATTGTTGGCTCATGCTTTACAGTTCTACGAAGAAAACAAGTCATAAGGGCAAGTGAACCCAATATTCTCCAGTAAAAACAAAACCGAGTACGTCAGGATTCACCCCGACGTATGCACAAACAGTACGGCGACATGCGATTCTCCAAAATCTGACAGTGAAACAACGGGTTAACATTTTGGCCTTAGCTCGAAATAAGACCCCTACATCCAAAGGCCATCTCCAAAAAGAAGAATTCGACCTCGTTCGAACGACGACGGGTTAACATTTCGACAAGTTTGAAATAACACCCTTACGCCTAAGGCCGTCACCAAAGGAAAGAATTCGACCTCGTTCGAACCACGACAGATTAACATTTCGACAAGATCGAAATAACACCCTTACGGCTAAGGCCGTCGCGAAAGAAAAGAGTTAGACATCGCTCAAACCACGACGGGTAACACTTCGACAAGCTCGAAATAACACCCTTACGGCTAAGGCCGTCGCCAAAGATAAAGAATTCGACCTCGCTTGAATTACAATGGGTTAAAATTTCGGTCTTATAACACCCTTACGGCCAAGGGCCATTGCCAAAAGAAGAAGTCGACCTCGCTCAAATTACAACGGGTTAACATTTCGGCCTTAGCTCGAAATAACACCCCTAAGTACAAGGTCCATCGCCAAAAGAATTCGACCTCGCTCGAATTACAGTGGGTTAACATTTCGGCCTTAGCTCGAAATAACACCCCTACGGCCAAAGGCCATCGCCAAAAGGAAAAATTCGACCTCGCTCGAATTACAACGGGTTAACATTTCGGCGTTAGCTCGAAATAACACCCCTATGGCCAAAGGCCATCGCCAAAAGGAAAAATTCAACTTCACTCGAATTTAACTCTCATTCGACCTAGCTCGAACTTGGTTCACAACTAGACCTCGTTCGAATTGAATAAGGCAACGTGAAAATGAGATGAGAATCACTGCTAGCATTGGAATTATATTAGGAATACAAGGAAATGAGAGTGAAACAAGTTCTGGTCTCACCTACAATTTGAGTCCAGGACACAACCGCACCTATATAATTTTAGTAGTCACACTATTCAACTGATGTACATGGCACACCAAGTGAGTGCCTTGATTATTGATACCTTTTTTTCAAGATAATGCATGTTACATGTTTGATTATTGATAATTAAGGGTAACTCCAGAGAGTATATGATGCATCAGAATATTCAGGCAACTCATCGCAAGGCGTCGTCTTCATCCTAGGAGGGGTCATAAGCATTGCCTCTGCCATGTCAACCAACAATCTTGGCATGCCAAACACTTCCTCTTCATAAAAAAACTCTTGCCCCATTGCTCCTTCATCTCCAACTTCAGGCTGGCACTCTGCTTGATGCCGCACATCTTCGCTTTCCAGTTGTGGCGCTCTAACAGCAGTAGCATTTGTAGCTGCGGCGCGTATGTGTGCTGTTGTTAGGGAAGCTGGTATAGTATATGAATACATTGAGTCCGGGAAATTTAATGGGGTATCAGGACCTTTTAATACCAAAGCAGCAACATCATATGTTGCAACTGCCATCTCCGGTGTTGGATAAGTGCGCGGGGATACCACTTTTTGACCCGAAGAGCAACACCCTCAGTCGCGATCCACACCAGTCAACCTCCCCATCCGAATTTCTCTACCTACGATTAATGAAGTTCGCTCACCAAGCTCGACCAAGAGACGACCTCGATAAGCAAAGGAACTAACTGTATGGGTCAAAATTAGATCAGAGAAATTCGGCATGCGGAGACATAAGACCGAGGTCGGACAAGCCAAGGTCGGACAGGCCGAGGTCGGGCAGGCCGAGGTCGGACAGTCATCAATAAGGCCGAGGTCGGGCAGTGATAAAACAACTAGTTTGCTTTGGAATCCTCAAAAGGAATATTCTACCAAATATTCCCTCTAATTGTACCTTTTCTTTTAGGGTTTTTCTAGGAAGACCCCTTATAAATAGGAAGAGAAGGCTTCCCAAAAAGAGGGCTCTCTCTCCCTCTCCCTCTCCCTCTTCCTCTCTCTAGAAAATATGTAAACAGACCTCTCTAAAGAGATTAGAAGATCCGTGATCCCATACCTTCATCAGATCCAAAAAAGGGTCTTAAGGTTCTTGTATTTGTCTATCATTCACTTTATCAAATGAAAGAGGACCCGTCTCACTCAAGATCGGGTGAACCTTTTCCTTTATTTACATTTTATTGCCATTTAATGTTACTTAATGCATCTCTCATTATGCTATTAAATCTGGCCATGATCACTGCCAACATTCATAGTCAGTTATGCTTTTCTATTTATATAATTCATCTTGGATCTAGAGTTAATTATCCTTAACTAGGATTTACCCTCCATCATCATTATTAATTAATTTAATTAAAAAGGTTTCGATATTTTTTGGTCAAACAGTGGTAAAAAGTTGTTTTCTTCTTATTAACCATTAGGAGAAGGGGGGACCTACAAATGGGAAAATGTGATTTTCTTAGAAATAGAAAAATAAAAAATCATGATTTTGGACTTACACACGCGCCTAAGGGGATGTGAGAAATATTTTTTTCCATGTCAGCTTATTGTGGTTAATAGATACACATTGAATGAGGTTGAAGTATCTAATATGTACAAGGCTTAATTGAAGTTGTTAGGTTAAAATATTGGGCAAGTTTAAGGAGCCGTATATATATTCCGTCTTTGTAGAAATATATTTCACATTCAGTACCTTGCACCTAATCATGTCTCTCGCATAGTTATGCTTGATATCCATATGTTTAGTTTTACAATGAAACTTAGGGTCCTTGGTAGAGGATATTGCAGCCTCACTGTCATAGTAGACTAACATTGGTTCAACATTTTCTGCAAATATCCAACAAGTGTTCCAAGAACTTTTTCAACCAAACAGCTTCTTGTGTTGCTGATGCGAGAGCCACATATTTGGCTTCCATCGTAGATAGTGATACACATGATTTTTTCATAATACTCCATGATATGGAGCCATCACTGAGTAAAAAACATATCCTGAGGTAGAATTTCTTTCGTCTAGATCTCCTCCATGATCAACATCACTCTATCCAACAAATCACAGATCCTTGCCGCCTTGGTAACAAAGCGCATAATCAGCAGTTCCCTTCAGATATCTCATGATCCTCTTTACTATTTGTCAATGTGCTAAACCTGGGTGAATTTGATATCTACTAACCAAGCCAACTTCTTGATATATATAAGGTCTAGTGCACACCATAGCGTATATTAGACTTCCGACTACGCTCCTATAAGGAACTCAGCTGATTCTTTCTGTCTTTTCAAGAGTCTTAGGACAGATTTGACTTCCCACAGCATGGACTTTATTGATAGAAGTGTCAACTAGGCAACTATTTTGCATGTTGAATCATTCAAGAACTTTTCTAATGTAATTCTCTTGTGAGAGATACAATAATTTCTTTGGACGATCTCTTGAAATCTTAGCTCCAAGAATATATGCAGCTTCACCCATATCTTTCATCTCAAATTGAGATAACTACCAGGACTTTCTCTCGGTTATAAACTCCTTATCATTTTTAGCTATAAGTACGTCATCTACATATAATTTTAAAATCACAAGCTTGTTCCTTGATTTTTTGGTATACACGCAATGGTCTTCATCCATCATGGTAAAACCTTTGGATACAACAACATTTTGAAAGCGTATATATCACTGCCTTGAAGATTGTTTGAGGCTATAAATAGACTTCAAACCTTTTGTTTGTGGCCCTTTTCAATAAAACACTCAGGTTATTCCAAATAAATTTCTTTCAACAGTAGCTAGAACCAGGCGATCAGAGGTAAATCATACAACAGGCGAGAAAGTCTCTTTGTAGTCTATTCCTTTCTATTATGTATACCCTTTGCCACCAGTCGAGCTTTATATCTCTCAACTGTGCCTAAGGCTGTATTGTGGGCTGGGCCCAGCCCAGGACCGCCCCGGGCCCGCGAGACCACGGGCCAAACGGGCCGGTCTCAAACGGTCTTTAAGGCCCACAGTGGGCCGGTCCTCTATAAATAGCCCGCGAGCCCGGGACCGTTTAGCCCGGGACCGGCAAGCGGGCCTGGGCCGGTTCAACCGGGCCTAACGGGCCCAACGGCTATTTTTTTTAAAAAAAAAGTTTTAAAAAATTGGCCAATGGTTTTATATTTAAAAACTAGTCGTTGGCCTGCCAGTTGAGCCGTTCGGCTTTTTATAAAATAGCCATTTGGCCTCCAAACTTTATTTTAACCCTCATTCTTTCATTTTTACTCACAAAATCATCAATCTCTCTCATTTCTGAAACTCAAATTGAAGTCAAGTCTTCACTCATTTCTCAAACTCAAATTCTTAGTTCAAGTTAAATCATGCCCGGTGATTCTAGATTGCACCCATTTGTTTTGGAACACTTTAATGTGGTAGAAGAAAATGAAGAAGTTTACCTAATAAAGTGCACGCACTGTGGTCGAGTCTGCACTCGTCGTCCCAAGGAGGGCACAGGCTG